CAGGCCAGGTGCAGCCGCCTTGTAACTGCCACCGTGTTAGCCGATCCCCGTTAGTCTGCGATGACCCCCGCTGTGACATGGGGCACGGATCCTCTTCCCGGTCTGAGCACACTGGTCAGAGGTCGGGCCTCGGTAGGGCACGCTCCTTTTCCTCATCCCGTCCCGCCAGTCAGCGCATGGCCGAGCCGGTGCATCGCAGCCACTGGACACCCCCTCCTCCCCTTTTGACTGCCATGCTGTCCCCAGCGAGCTTGCCAGTGAGTGACACAGCGCTTACGCCGGCCCTTGACCCACCTTCAGAGAAAGGCTGACACTTGCCATCTGGCTTAGCATCTCCCACTTTGCCGTGCTGCTACTGTGACACTGAGAATTTCCAGGTACGAAGTCCCACATTGGGGTCTTTCTGAGACTGCCACGTGTGTGGTAAGTAACTTGCTGTGTGCATCTCTGGAGAGGGCACTTGTTTTGTTCAGCGAACTCTCTTAGTTGTCAAAAATCTCAGAAGGTCACCCAAACAACGGCCTTGTCATTCCTCCCTCCATCTAGTCAACTATTGATGGTCTACTGTTGGCTTGGCTCACTTGAGGCTGTGAGGGTGACCTGAAAAGGCTAGATAAAGCCTCTACCACCAAGAACTTTGGTTGGCATTGACTTTGGTCTGAGGGACAAACAAAATTTTTGAGTGGACTGCCCTGTCATGCAGGAGTGAGAGATAGGAGAGAGGTGGGGAAAAGATAGCTATTTCTTAGTAAACAAGGGCCCTGGGGAAGAAACAGTGATTTTGGTCCCCTCCAGTCTACTTTTCAGTACCTGTTTGTTAGTGTGTTTCCAGCTTGTGGGTGGAGGGGCAGGTCTTGAGTGCTACCTTGGGTTCTGAAGGGTTCATGACAGACTAGGACTGGCTAACAAGGTGGCAGTTACAAGGCCGGCACCACCTGGGGGAAAAAAAAAAGGCTGAAGCATTGAAGAGAGGTGAGCAAAGGGAGGTCCAAAGACTTGACCAAGTCCTTGGTGCCCACTTTCCTGACAGTTATCCCACACATCTGAATCTTCCCCAACTGTGGCCTTGGGTTTTTATACTGGTAAATTTTATATATTGGCAACTGCAGTATACTTAACAATGGAGGAGGACCTGGACGGAGCCTTTAAGAGTGGTTTCCAGGCTTGATGTCCGCCTGTTGATCTGCGGCACATCTGGTTGTGGGATCAGGGAGCCACATAAGGTGTTTTTGAACCTTGTGCTGCCGTTAGCCTTGTTGTCTTGGACTTTCAGATTCTGGAGGGCTAGGATACTTACTCATCACCACACTGGGACTTGAAGCAGGGACTTGAAGGATATTTTATTTGAATATGGAAACAACTTCAACATCTAGAAAAAGCCTGCCTTCGAAGGGATCCTCACAGGGTGGGAGACTTGTATCTCAGCAGTTAGAATTTGTGCTGTTTTTATAACACCTGTTGGTGCAATTTTTTATAAAACTTTTCAGTCTCCTGGAGTTAAGTTTGGGCTGTGATATGAGCAAAGATGCAAGTGTTTCCAAGCAGGTGATTAATTGTACAAATAATCTCGATTAACTACATTTCTCTTTGATGCCTGTTTTTTGTTGTTCTTGTTTGGTTTTTGTTGTCGTTGTTCTTCAGTTTGGTGAGAATTTTGTTATCTAACATGGTAGAGTTTTTTTTTTTTGTTGTCGTTGTTCTTCAGTTTGGTGAGAATTTTGTTATCTAACATGATAGAGTTTTTTTTGGTTTTATTTTTTACCCCATTATTCTTTTGTTGTTTGTTTTTTTTTGTTTTTTCAAAACAGGGTTTCTTTGGCTGTCCTGGAACTAGCCTTGCACTCACAGAGATCCACCTGCCTCTGCCTCAAGTTCTGGGATTAAAGGTGTATACCACCACTGCCTGGCCCATTATTCTTACTAACACAAAGAGCAATTCTCCCTTATGTAAATGCACAAATAAAATTTGAAATTTTTTGTTATATTTTGTATCAAATTTCTGAAGAGGCTGGCTACATTTTATTTATGGGTAACCTTGAGAATTTCTCTAATATTGAATCTTCTTCTAGTACATGGTATGTATGGTTTTTCTATTTAGTCCTCTTTATTTTTTGTTACACAGGCTGGATTTGTATTTATGCATAAATTTTTTTAGTTTTCTACTTTACTGAGGTACAATTTTTTTTTTCGGTGTGTGAACATGTGTATGTAGAGGTCAGAGGTCAACATTTAATGTTATCCTCATTCTCCACCTTATTTTTGAAACAAGGTCTCTCACTGCACATGGAACCTACAGATTTGGATCTAGCTAGATTGGCTACCAGCCAGCCCAGGTATCCACAACCCAAGGGAGCCTCCTGTCTCTGCCTCCCCTACCCCCAATAGAACTAGAGGCATGTGCAACTAGTCTTGGCTTTTTATATGAGAGTTGGGAATCTGAGCTTAAGGGCTCATGTTTTCGTGACAAGTACTGCCAATTGAGATATCTCACTAGCCTCTTGAAGTGTGATTTTAATACAAAATGTATGCCTTTGAGATTTATTTCCTGTTATTTCATTTCCATTGCTACAATAAAAATACCTGAAAAAATACTATAAAGAAAAGAGATTTATTTAGTTCAGCCTTAGAGGCTGAATATCATGGTGCAGGTTCTCATGTAAGCCTTACCTATGGTACCTTAAAACAGACAGCAGTGGGGGAGCTGTGATCTCCTGATATCCAGGAAGCCAGAGACTAGGAGGGCTGGTCTCATGCTCTTATAATAACCGTCTGATAAGAACTAGCCAGGATTCCAGGAGAAATTCTTTAGTCCTGCAGGAAGACACTTTGCCCTGACACTGTGGCCCAGTGTGATGCCATACTGGTTAAAGGGCTTTGCTGTCTCCCAACACTACCATACTGGGACCATACTTCTAACACATGGACTCTGTGGATACAGTAGTACTCTGCTGAATTGTTTCTTATCGAGACACCCTGCTGCTATTTCTCGGAGCAGCATGGTAGGGAGCTCACCTACCTTCCAGGTAGCAACTGTTGTTTGGCCCTAGGCTTTGGCTAACCAGCTGTCTTTGTAGTAAAGGAGATGGCTGCCATTCTCCTTTCAGATACCCCAATTCAGAGACGCTCTTACATACTTGCAATAAATTAGAGTAATTACATGCTAGATTTTTTTGGCATAATATTTTAAATTGTAATTTGGTAGTACTTTATTTAGGTTCTTCTATGTTATAAAGTACTATTGACTTATTGTTCCATTGTTCCCCAGTCCATCACATTTTCTTTTCTTAGAAAAAAAATTCTTATCAGCTTTGGTGTCAGGAATGTGCTAATTTGATAAAGGGAACTTTACAGCTTTCTCTTATGAATTATTTTCTGGGAATTTGAAAGTTCCTGTGTGGCTGGGCAGCAAGGAGCCACTTCAGAAGTCATCCTATTTGATTGGCCTTGCTAACAATTTCCCACACTGATAGGAGCCCCTCTCTTCAGTGCAGGTCCTAATCTGAAGGAGTGGCTGAGGGAGCAGTTCTGTGACCATCCACTAGAGCACTGTGAAGATACACGGCTCCATGATGCAGCCTACGTAGGGGACCTCCAAACCCTAAGGAACCTATTGCAAGAGGAGAGCTACCGAAGGTGAGCATCCCTGCTGGGGCTGGTAACAGGTATTGGCCTATGGGTCTTCAGGAGGCTGGACTTTGTGGTTTGGATGGCAGATTAAGACTGATGCTACAGGAATGCATTTTTGGTTTTAGAGGAGGGACAAAAGGAAGAATTATTGGTGGCCAGATATTGTGGGCAGAGGTTCCTGGATCCAAGTCTGGCCCTGTGATTGGCCTTCATGTTTTCTGGCAACTTGTCCTATCTGGGCATTGGCATTAGTTTCCTCAGTGTTTTTCTTGAAGGCAATGTTAGAGATATCAGTAGTGACCTTATCCCTCCAAGTCTCCCATGGCTCTTTAAAAAACAAAAAAGATATTTTATTTATTTATTTGAAGCAGGGTCTTACTCTGTAGCCTTGGCTGGATCAGAACTCGTTATGTAGACCAGATTGACCTCATATTCACAGAGATCTGCCTGCCTCTGTCCTGAGTGCTAGGATTAAAGGTGTGCACTACTATTCCTGACTATTTTACTTATTTTCATTGTGTGTATGTGGGGGTGAGTGGGTGGGTATGTGCATGTAAATACAGGTGGCCACAGAGGCCTGAAGAGGTCATCCATTGGAACTGGGTTACAGGTGATTGTAACCCATCTGATGTGGGTGCTGGGAATTGAACTCAGGTCCCCTGGAAGAGTGGCTCATGCCCTTAGCCTTTGAGCCATCTCTCCAGCCTATCTCTTACGGCTCTTTATCTTGGGTAGTTCTTTTCCTACTACCACTTTGTTGACATTCCTCTGATGTTCTCTTCTTCACTTCTCAGGTCTGTAGTGATCAGCCATAGGCCAGCTGACTTCCCAGTATAGGGATGTGGGGCTGCCATCTTCTTTGTTTTCTTTTCCTGGCCTCATGATTTCCCTGAGTTCTTTGTGTGAATGAAGTCCCAATTAGATACTGAATACATGAAACTGGCACTTTATACTTAAATGTGTTTCTACTTTGCCTTGAGGAATGGATGCAGTTAATTGATGGAAGTCCCTGTGGGAGACCTACACTACTGCCTTTGTGTAGACAATTCACAAGCAAAGGATTCCTAACCAGCCAGGAGTATGTTTCTTTCATATCCTTCTAATGTCTTAGCACTGTTTCATAGAGCACATGTCAGTAGTTAAAAATCAAAACACAGACTAGACAGATGATTTAGCAGTTAAGAGCTCTTGTTGCTCTCACAGAGGACCCAGATTTAATTCCAGCACTCACGTGAGACAATCTCTTCTGACTGCTACAGGCACCAAGCATGCATGTGTACAAAAATATCCGTGCAGGCAAAACATTCATACATGAAGTTAAGTGAATAAATCTAATAAAACAAAACACAAAATTTAAATTTATTTAATGTGACTTAAGCCCCTGAAAGACTTAAGCACACAGATATAGCAGTAGAATGAAAGGGTTCAGTGAAGTTCCTATTGTGCTACCCTCCCTCTCCCTGCCTCTCTTCTCTCTTCCTTCTCTCTTTCCTTTTTCTCCCTTTTCCCCACCTCTTCCTCCCCATTTGGCCATCATATAGCTTTGTAGCCTAAGCTGGCCTTCAACTCCTGACCCTTTGTCTCTGCTTCCACCTTCTGAGATCTAGATTATTGACCCATGCCACCACACTCTCTCCTTTTTTCTTAAACTCAGGGTTCATGGAGTGGCCTCTTCCTTTGACATATTTTCTTTTGCTGTACATTTCTCTGTTGGTGAATTCTGGAGGGTTTCAGGGCTTTATTGGCTCATATCAGCCCATGTATGACTGGAGGAGGAACACCAGGAATTGGTTTAGTGAGACACTGCTTCAGTGTGGATGGTGAGGTGAAGCACACCTTGGTTGCTGACTTGGAGGATCAGTGAACAGTGTAGATAGTTATCTGGTGGTCATACTGACTGGGAGCTGCATCTGGACAGTTTGTTGCTACTGCTGGTCAACAATGCAGTCCCTGTAATTTTAATGATCTCCTAGGTTCTCAGTTGCTCTGGGTCAGGGTAGGAGGATGTTACTAATACTGATAGTCTCTATATGGAGAAGATTCCAGCCTTGAACCTTTATAGGTGGTCACTAAAAAGAGGGCGTGCATGGCCCTGCCTTTCTTACCCTGTGTCCCCAATGGATCTATATATGTTTGGTAGAGGAACAGGCTTTGGAATGTGGGTTAGGAATCCAAGAACTAGAAATCTCAGTTTTAGTGCTAACTATTCTGTTGAAGCCTCTAGCTTCCTTGCCGTGGGCCCCAATGCCTATTTTCTCTGCTCGATTTCAGTAGGGGCAATTGTGGAAGCCTTTCAGGACATAGAACTCAAAGGGCTGGAAATGTAGCTCAGGGGTAGAGTTCTTGCATAGCATGTACAGGATCCTGGGTTTGATCTTCAGCACCATGAGAAGGAAAACAGAACACAACGGAAGGTATTCTAAATCTGAGGGTTTGCTACCAAAATGGCTGTCTTTCTTGGGAGCCCTTGCCAGTGTGAGAGGAGGGAGAACAGCTCATTTGCCTGGGCTGACTCTCATAAGCTTTCTGTGTTCCCATCTAGCCGCATCAATGAGAAGTCTGTCTGGTGCTGTGGCTGGCTCCCCTGTACACCACTGAGAATTGCAGCCACTGCAGGCCATGGGAACTGTGTGGACTTCCTCATACGCAAAGGGGCAGAGGTGGACCTGGTGGATGTCAAGGGGCAGACTGCTCTGTATGTGGCTGTAGTGAATGGGCACCTGGAGAGCACGAAGATCCTTTTGGAAGCTGGTGCTGACCCCAATGGCAGCCGGCACCACCGCAGCACTCCTGTCTACCATGCCTCTCGAGTGGGTAGGGATGACATCCTGAAGGCTCTTATCAGGTTAGTACAGCAGGTCCGTAGCCACTTCCCTTGTTTCTGTACTTGCCTTTCCTGCTTTAAGGGTCTGGTTGTTAGAGGACGTGGAAGGACTGCTTCATTAGTGCTCTTCATTGCTCTCTGACCCACTGATGTCTTACCTTTACTGTTATTTTTCTTAACTTTTTGAGTTGTGGGCTTATTTATTTATTTTTAACAATGTAAACTTTTTGTGTAATTTACCTTCATTTATAGCTTTGGTCATATCCTCTAATGTTCCTTATTCTTTAAGTATTAAATTTTGTTTGTGTGTGTGTGTGTGTGTGTGTGTGTGTGTGTGTGTGTGTGTGTGTGTGTGTGTGTGATGTGTGGGTAGTAGGGGGCATCAGATCCCCTGGTGCAGGTAGTTTTGAGCCATATGATGCATGCTGGGAACTGAACTCTTGTCCTCTGCAAGTACAGCAAATGCTTAACTACTGAGTCATCTCTCTAGTCCCAGAAGCTTAGTTTTTTAAATAGCTGTAGATGAGGTTGATTTCTTCTTTGTTCTTAGAGTTATTATGGAAGAGGATTTTATGATAACAGTGAAGATATTCATTTTTTTATGTCACTCACACACATTGTTGTGAATGCTTTTGTGGTGTGTTAACCTAAGTTCTTTTCTTCAGGATCCCCCTTTTTTCTTTGCCATCAAATCTGCCAAGATTTAGAGAAATGTTTAAGTCCTTAATTACTGTTGTGACTTTTGTCAGTTGCCTCTGCATTTCAATTAGGTTTTGCTCTGAGTGTAGTGACTCAATTATATTAATATTACATTTTCAGTTTGAACCAGCTTGTGTTTTCCCTTTTCATATTTTCAGTAGCATCTTTCTACCATAGATACCTTGATCATCTCTTACTGTGGAGGCTAGCTAGTTCTATGGTAGGTCACTGTAGCTTTTGTAGCTAGCTAGCTCTTGTGAGCGTGTTTGTGTAGAAAAGGAGCAGGTAAAAGTTTGTAGAAGACTGCTAACAGTGGGCTCAGGTGAGTGAGCATTCTTGCTTGGTACAGAACATGGCTTCTCAACCAGGTTCTGGAAATATATTCTTTCAAAAGAGTTTTATACTAATCAGCTATAGACTTGTCATGGGGGAAGAAAAATTATCAAGGAGGTTTTAAATTAGAGGGCAATAAAGTTTGGGCTTTAAAAAATAATGTAGGGATTTCTAGCATGCAATCTGTGCTACCTTAAATTCATGCTTTTGCATCTTAGAGAATTTATGGCATTAATGTGGAAATGGTTTAATTATTTAAATGGTTTTTTGAGACAGGATTTCTCCGTGTAACAGCCCTGACTGTCTTGGAAATTACTCTGTAGACCAGGATGGCCTTAAACTCACCAAGATCTGCCTGCCTCTGCCTCCTGGGTGCTGGGATTCCACCACTGCTGCCAGGCTGTGTTTTTTCGTTTTTGTATTTCTGTGTTTATGTGTGTACACACACATGCTCATGCACATTCCACGGTGTGCCTATGGAGATCAGGAGACAACTTATGGGAGTTGGTTTTTCTTTCCACTCTGGGTTCCAAGGTAGAACTCAAGTCATCAGGCTTGGCAGCAAGATCCTTCACCCACGGAGCCATTCATTTGCGCCTGTGGAAATGTTTTTGAGTAGGATCAGTTGATGAAAGTCTGTTTTAGTTCAGAAATCCCTGTGGACATTTTAGACAAAACATCTTATTTCCTCTGTGTATAGGGCACTATTTAAAATCTTTCTATATATTCTAAACTATGATGATTGACTTTTAGAAAATGGAAGTTTGCTGGATGTGGTGATGCATGCTTTTAATACCAGCACTGGAGAGGTAGGAGCAAATAGAGTTTGAGGCCAGCCTGGTCTACATAGCAGTTCTAGGGCAGTCAGGGTACATAGTAAGACTATGTCTAAAAGCAAGCAAGCAAACAAATAGCCAAAAACAATAAAGAAGGAAAATGAAATGGTACTGTTAAATTACTAAATGGCTAATGTTATCTAAATAAAACCCAAACAAAAACAATAAAGAAGGAAAATGAAATGGTACTGTTAAATTACTAAATGTCTATTATTATCTAAATAAACCCCAACCCTGCCTGCCTGTCTACCTGGTCATTTTTACTGTATGCTGTCTCTCATCTTTCATTATTGCAATTTCTGGCTCTCTGTAAGGAACTTCCCCTGATTGTTTGTAAGCTCCCTTGGTCTACATTGCTGATATTTTAGGATAGAAGGTGAGAAGTGATGTTTCTGTGTGTTCAAAGTTATATTGATTTGTTCAGCTGTTTGGGTGTATAGAGATAATAAAAGCAATAGAGAAATTTAGAAAATATTCAGGATTAAAATTAACTGGATCCTATTCAGTATGTTTTTATGAGCTTCAAAGGCTATCCTTCCTACAGCTCAGTTGGTACCAGATTGCCATACTGTCACACAAAGATTATAAACACTTTAGAAAACATGTCTCCAATGAGAAGGGAGGAAATAATTACTATGGAGATGTCAATTTCCTTTTGCTAGTTGAAAAGTGAAATGGAACAGTTTTCTGCTTATATTCTCCTCTTACTCCTAGAAAGTCTCAGGTTTTATTTGTAAAGGAAAGGGCCTTGTGTGTCCTCAGGCCTATGCTGCCTCAAAGAAGCACTTGGGATTCCATTTCCTTTGGATAGCTGAAGTGCTGGATGGAGACAGATTTTGAAGCAAGGCTGCTGGCTGAGACTGTTGGCTGGCTGTCGTCTAGGCAGGGAAAAGGTTTTACTCCATCTTCTCTGGACCCTGGATATTAGGTCCCCCATGTTGTGTCCTCATCATTCCTATGTGCTGTCATTTCTTGTTTCAAGTGAAATATTCAGGTGACCAACACAGTTTGTGAGCCATCACAGAACTGTCTGGGGCCAGAGAGGGCTTCAGTGTACAGGTGGCAGGTGACTGATTGTCTTGGACAGGAATCTTGCACGTGTGAATCCTGCCATCGTTGATCACTGATCTTGTTTCTCCTGCCTTTTCATTCTGATCCTTTGGTGATAGTGATGTCCTCCAGGTTTTCCAGCTGTTGTTTCCTTTGTAATTAGTGTCTTGTGGGGAGACATTTTGCAACCAAATATATGCTTCATCTCAATTTTTATTTATGTTATTGTAGACTTATGGTTTCTTATCTTGTCCAGGTAGAGTTAGAATCCATTGTTGTTACTTACTTTGAGGATCACATTAATATTACTGGTGGTTTAAGCCAGCTTTGTGTCCTTTTGACTTGTCCTTACTGTTTTGTGAGCAGTTCCTTACTTTCTGACATAACAGGATAGTCTAAGCTTGTTGTGGATTTTCCTGAGTCCTGGAGTAAGTCCTCCCAGAGTCCAGTCTTCTTTCAGTGAAGAATGCTGTGCAGAAACAAAGATCTAAGCTGGCCAGAGTAGCACATGCCTGCAACCTAGCTATTTGAAGATTGCCACCAGTCTGCGCAACATAGTGGGACTGTGCCTCAAAAAGAAAAGAAACCAAGACTAGAAGTACTTTCAGGAGTGTGTTCTACTCTGGAAGCATTGCTGTTCCATCCCTGGAGCTGAGGGTGTGTGTTCATATTCCTTTCTGACTGGAGCTGATCTGCATCTCTTACTGCCTCTCCTCATTCCCCCTTGTCCCATTTGGGCTCTATTGCCTTATGCCAGGCCCCTGTCCTTAGCAGGTCCCTTGCTCACTTTGTCAGGACTCTGCCCCCTGAGCCAGATTACCTTCCCAGTTGTAGTTGGCTGACTCCTGGTTGGAGTAAAAGAGATAACTAGTTTGCACTTGACCTCAGACTACTCAAATTGCCATATATTTGGGTGTCTGTAGAGTGTACCAAGGACAACAAAAAAGACTGGCTGTGGTACTTCAGCACCTGCACCTGGTGAGAGATAGTCCTAACATCTGGACTGTCTTTGGGAGTCAGGAAATGGTCAGCTCTGGGAATCACTTTCTGACTGCCGTTCACCTGCCTCCTGGGCAGTGCTGCATGATGCTGCCCTGCTGTGAAGCCATGCTTCCTGTTGTAGGTCCTTAAGTCCTTGCAATTGAACCTGATGCTGGGAGTATCCCTGCTAATCCTGTGAGGCTGGATGTTTAGGCTGTCTGAAAAGAAGACTCACCATGTTGGGTTTGTTGGTTCCTTTTTACTCTCAGGTTTTAGTGGTTGCCTCAGCGTGTAAAGTGTTTCCATTGTTCCAACTGTAATCTATATAACAAGGTGTATTGAAAGGTCTAGCTTTTAGCCTTGTTCATTGTCTTGCTCTCCCCTCCCCTCTAGGTAAGCATTTAGGTCTATAATTTGTCCTTCACTATTACAAATGAGCAAATGCACATGTGTGACTTGAGTTGTATATTATACATGGCAAACCTATAAAATAAGTATACACTGCACTCGTTCCTATCATCTTCCTCACACATTCGTGTGCTCTAGAGGACATTCCAGAGCATATAGAGCAGTATTCCTCCTTCCCTTCTTAGCTTCTCAGTTCTGTCTCTTAGGGATAAGCCACACAGTCCCTGTTGGTGGTTTCCTGGCTCAGCTGTTAGGAACAGTGCTTTAATGAATTGTCTTGTGCACACATCTTCTTAGTTTTGTAAATATGTCTTGGGAATAAATCCCAAGAAGTGTGATGGATGGGTTCAAGGGTAAGTGCATCTGTAATTTTGATAGAATTGCCAAATTTCTCTCCATAGGATTGCTCCATTTCAGTTATCAGCAGTGATAGTTCTGTTTCTATTAAAGCACAGCCAGTAAACACTGGGAGTAGAATCTTAGGTTACTTTAAAATTCAACATTTTTTAAGTGTGTGTGTGTGTGTGTTGGGGCGGAGGAGGGGAACACTTCATGGCATGGGCGTGGAGGTCAGAGGACAACTGGAAGAAGTTGGTTCTCTCCTTCCAGAGTGTGGGTACCAGGGATTGAACTCAGGCCATCAGTCTTGACAACAAGGGATTTTACCCACTGAACCATTTTACCAGTCCCAAGTGGTAAATTTGACCTAAATAAACTTTTCCTAGTTTCCATATTGTTTTATAGTTTATTTGTAAATTCTGATCTATTTGGAATTAATCTTGGTGTGCACTGTGATGAATGGACTTAACTGTATCTTTTCCCATATGAATTTCCAATTGTCCTGGGGGAAAAATATCAAAAAGTTCAAGACCACTCTTCCCCATTAAGACAGGAAACTGACTGTGAGTGTTCATTATAGGCTGAGTTTTTCCCTATTTTTGATCCGTAGCTAGTTGAGTCTTTGGATATGGTACCTGCAGATGAGAGGGCTGGCTGTGTTTGTGACCAGTAGAGTCTCCCGAGGCTCCCCGTGTGACTGTTTAATGCCTTCTTCAGGGTGCTGGACAGTCTTTGTGGTCTGAGTTTGGCTTATTATAACTTACTTTTCTCTTCCTGTAGGTATGGGGCGGACGTAGATGTCAACCATCATTTGACTCCTGACACCCGGCCCCCTTTCTCAAGGCGGCTTACCTCCTTGGTGGTCTGTCCTTTATACATCAGTGCTGCCTACCATAACCTTCAGTGCTTCCGGCTCCTCCTGCAGGCTGGGGCAAATCCTGACTTCAATTGCAATGGCCCTGTCAATACACAGGAATTCTACAGGGGCTCCCCTGGGTGTGTCATGGATGCTGTCCTGCGCCATGGTTGTGAGGCAGCCTTCGTGAGCCTGCTGGTAGAGTTTGGCGCCAACCTGAACCTAGTGAAGTGGGACTCACTGGGCCCAGAGGCGAGAGGCAGAAGGAAGATGGACCCTGAGGCCTTGCAGGTCTTTAAGGAGGCCAGAAGTAAGTGGCCTGAACACAGCACAGTCTTGTGGTCTGGGGTGGATTGAACCAGTGAGATGTAATAGTAACTAAAACAGGGCCTGGAGAAATGGCTCAGCTGTTAAGAGCACTGCCTGCTCTTTCAGAGGACCTGATTCCCAGGGGCTCACAGTTGTCTATAATAGGAGGCCCTCCTCTGGCTTCTGTAGGCACTGCATGCATGTGGTGCCTAGACATACATGCATGCAAAGCACCCATATAAATGAAAATAAATAAGTAAATCTTGAATAACAACCCCCACCAAAATATTCCAGCTAAGCACTGATTAAAGCCTTCAGAGTGTGTGTGTGTGTGTGTGTGAGAGAGAGAGAGAGAGAGAGAGAGAGAGAGAGAGAGAGAGAGAGAGAGAGAGAGAGAGAGAGAGAGAGAGAGAGAGAGAGAGAGAGAGAGAGAGAGAGAGAGAGAGAGAGAGAGAGAGAGAGAGAGAGAGAGGGTCAGAGGGCAACTTCAGGTACTCTTCACCCTTACTTTAGAGACAGGCTAGTAGAACAGCTGGGATCTGCTCTCCCCTCCCTCCCCAGTGCTGGGATGACACTGTGTGCCACTGCTCTTGGTTTCTTTGCAAGGATGACTCCTTGTGTTTTCATGGCAAGCTCTTTACTGATTAAACTCTCCTCAGCCCCAGATGGTTATTTTGCCATTCCTAAACACCTAAAGCTGATGCCAAAAATCTAAAAAAGTAGATGTATGCTTTCAAAGTTCTTAGAATTGTATTCTCTACCTTTTGCTCTGCTTTTTGACCTCATTCTTAGCTAATGGTTTCTTTTTCACATTTTTCCTTTCTATTTCTTGTTTCTTAGATCATTGTACCATGTCATTTTCTTTAAACATATTTTAATATATTATATGTGTGTGGGGGAAGCATGCATATGCCATAGCATGAGTGTAGAAATCAGAGGACAACTTAAAGGAGTCAATTCTTCTGCCACATGGGTCCCATGGGTTGAACTCAGGTGATTAAGTGTAGAAGTAGCATTCTTACCCTCTGAGCCATCCTGTTGGCCCATCGTGGTGTTTTCATTCATGGACCATTATTTTTTATTCTTAATCATCTTTGCCTTCTCTGCCCTTTGTATCCCTGACTTTCTCTTCATATGTATTTTAGTGAACAGAGTTAGAAGCTCATTTTCTAGAGTTCCTCTCCTTTTTTTAGTTCCACTCAGATAGCCTTAGACTGAGTTGTGTGATAAGCCCAGTTTTTGTTAAAATGAAATCTGGAGTTCGCTTGTTTGTGTAGAAGCATTTTGCCAAGGAGTTAATAAGTCAGTGGCAAGAGAGTGTGAACTTTACCTGTGTTTGGGTTTGTTGTCAGTGCTCTCTCGAATTCAGAAATTAACCTGTCTGTCTTGTCTGTCTGTTTGTCTGTCTGTCTGTCTGTCTGTCTGTTCTTTCTGTTTTATTTCCTGCCTGGTGCCCCCCCCCCCCCCTCATTCCTGCCATCTTGTCAGAGGACATCTGAATTGATAGTCTTATCCTTGGTCTCTTATTTCTCAAAGAACATTAATACCAGTGTGTTTTTGTTGTCTATATCCAAGCCAGTTCATGGAAACATGTTCTTTTTTTTTTTTTTTATTAGTTAACATGTTCTTGTTTAGCCTTTCTCTAAGTTGCTGGCTGATGGCCTGGTGAGAAGCAGGCTGATAGAATGAACCTTTTTCTTGTCATCATCTCCTGAAGCAGGGGTTTGGCTGTGTCTTTTTTGATCTGGAGCAGGACTGCCATCCTTTTCTCTGAATTCAAGTACTGCAAACTTGGTGTCCCCAGGCTTCCTTGCCCCTGCTGGGACATCAAGAGTGAGGGTCATTTGCTCTCATCCGTGGGGTCTCCTGTGGGCAGCCTTTTCTGGGACACTGAGGATTGCAGAAGGAGGCGCTGCCATCAGAGAACACATGCCTGGTTAGATGGAAGCAGATAGCAAGGCCTTCCTTGCCTCCAGGGCCTTCTTGTCTCTGAGATTAGGAAGTTGTTGTGTTAGTGCAGTTGTGTCCACTGTAGTCAGCTCTGGGCCTTTAGAACTAGAATAGAATAAACTTCTCTCTTCACATTCTCCAGGTATTCCCAGGACCTTGCTGAGTTTGTGCCGTGTGGCTGTGAGAAGAGCTCTTGGCAAATACCGACTGCATCTGGTTCCCTCGCTGCCCCTGCCAGACCCCATAAAGAAGTTTCTGCTTTATGAGTAGAATTCAGATGCAGTGTTGACTGCAGTGAGGAAGCCGATCGTCTGCAGTGAAAGTTGACACAGACTCTTGCATCCTGTGCTGCCAACTTGTTCCCTCGCTGTCAGTGAAGAAGAAATGGCCATGTTCTCCTGAATTGTGATTCCGTCTCAGGTGCTTGGGCCATCGAACACTCCTTGAGTCATTGTCAGCTGAGAGGCGTATACAAACTTAATTTTGTTTTTCAGTATCTCTGTTTTGGACTTTTACTTTTGCATATTAATGAAATGGGCTGTAAATGTGCAGTATGGGTTGAATCTGCAAGCCTCGTGGTAGCCCTAGTGGGGAAAGCTTGTATTTTACAAAGCTATGCTTCTATTTATGTTTTACTTTGCAATTTAATTGTTCTTTTAAGGCTTGATATCCAAACAAGAAGAGAATTTTGGTAAGAAAGCGTGGAGAGAACAGAAACACAGTTCATGCACTTGCTAGTCTGATTTCCTGCCTGGCTTTGTCTGTATGTGCTGTCAGACGCGTATCCCTTCTTGCCGCTGCAATACTCTCTCTTGGGAGTGTCTTCGTTCCAAGATGCTTTCTTGGCTGCATATATTGCCTGCTGTCTTAGTTCATGGAGGTCCCAGCACAGCATCCACAGTGCAACACCTGTCCTGGCAGGGGTTTTCTGATGGCTGTCTCACCCTCGGGATCTTCAGACAGTGATTACCTTTAGGAGGCCCACCTGGAACTAACCAGGAAGTGACTGCCCATATTCAGACCAGGGACCATCCCACTAGCACTCACTGCCAGTCATCACAGGATAAGATGACACTGGGGTGCTCCACACAGACCCTCCCATACAGAAAGTGGGAACTGACTGTATCAGCCACCTGGGTGGCTCCAGTCTACAGCTGCTTGGTGCTCACCAGGCTCTTTCTCCCTCTTTCTGGTCCAGTGCCTTTGTGGGCACTCCTAGAGATCTTTCCCCATCCATCCCAGGGTTGGTGAGTGAGAGAGATGAGCTCAGTGCAGGTGTGAGGGTCATGGACAGGTGGGGCAGGGACTATGCATAGATAGCCTTGAGCATCCTCAGGACACTCCTGTTTTGGTGAAATCGAATTTTGTCACTTTGAATCCTCTTAAGACTGTGGATCTGTGGTGATTGTAGACTTGAGAATATTTAGGGAGATGTTAAAGTTGTTTAGAGTTTTGGCCATCAAAGAGGTCTAATCTGTAATGATACTTTACTGTTGTACCCTTGTATGGTTTAGCTGACCAGATAGGAAGTGATGGCCTGCATTACCAAGCTGGCCAAAATGCACTACATGGATTTCTAGTGGGCCTTGTCCAGCACTGCCAGTGAGTTCTGTGTCTGGGGAGGGAGTGAGCTGGGCCAGAGCCTGTTCCTCTCCAGGCTCCCCAGCTGTAGGGGGCCAGGGCATGAGTAGCTTCCCCTGTGCTAGGGTTTTCAGAGTCTCAACACTGTGAAGTTCTCCTGCTTGTTCCAAACTTCCAGCTGGAAAACCTGAATGTGAATGGCATTGGTGATGACTGAGGCTGGCCCTCCTTGTTTCCAGTAGCACTATGAAAGTACTGCATTTTGTTGCAATAGGAAAGAGCAGCACTATCGCCGTGAGCACCCCAGGTTCATGAGAGGGGCACCATGGGAAGTTGATGTGGCCTTGGTGAGGACTGACTGCCACTTTACTCAGCAGACTTCTGAGCTCTAGGTACCTGTGTCCTCCCTAGCATGGAAATGTGGTAGGCCTGATAAAACTGCTGCCTTCTGGCTGAGCCGGCCCTGGTGGCTCAGAGGGAAGGAGCCTGAAGCTGTCTCTGCTCATCCAAGGGGCATCTGTATGATTGTTGCTTTTCCTGGGGCAGCCACTTGATTTTAAGAGTTTAGCCAGTGCTGAGGCCTCAGAATTTGTCTTTGCAGTGTGCTTTTGGACTTATTTCCAGAAGCCTACCAATATCATATGTTTTGTAGCTATTTTACTTGTTTTGTTAATCACTTTACGTATTTATTTACTTATTTATCTATCTGTATTTATTTATTTGTTTATACTCTTATTTTGACATTAGGTAGAGTCAGGCAAAAATACTTGTTATGTAGATAATTAGCAGTTTTCAAATGTTGACCATTTCTTTTGTCAGACTTAAGGACCATCAGTTTCAAAGTTTTCCCTCTGCTTTTTCGTGCTTGGTTTTTTTGTTTGTTCGTTTTTGTCTTTGTTTTTTTTTCCAAAATAGGATTTCTATGTGTAACAGCCCTGGCTGTCCTGGAACTTGCTTTGTACACCAGGCTGGCCTTGAACTCACTGAGATCCACCTGCCTCTGCCTCCCAAGTGCTGAAACTAAAGGCGTGCACCACCACCACCTGGATCCATGCATGATTTTTTTAAACACGTTTTTCTTTTTATTTATTTATTTATTTATTTATTTATTTATTATGCATGCAATGTTCTGCTGGCATGTATGCCTACCTGCCAGAAGAGGGCACCAGATCTCATTATAGATGGTTGTGCGCCACAATGTGGGTGCTGGGAATTGAATTTAGGACCTCTGGAAAAACAGCCAGTGCTCTTAATCTCTGAGCCAACTCTCCAGCCCCCAATGATTTTTTTTTTTTTTTTAAGATAAAAATTTCCTGAAAGAAAAAGTACTGTGTTTGGGTCTTAAGCAGAGGAAAGCATGTCCTGACTTGCCTTGACCTGCCCTGACCTGTCTCAGCTAGTTCCTGGAGGACCCTCCTGCTGTGCCTTTCAGTGGACTCTGGTGAGGTCCTATAAGAGTTGACACAGTCAAGTACTTTGGGAGAGGTCTCTGTCATGTGGGAACTATTTCTTAGTGGAGTGCACCTATGGTAGTAACTGCTGAGAGCTGCATCTGGAGATGCAGGACCGGCCTTGTGCTCTGGTGGCACACTGGGACCATTGTGGCCCACAGTGCAGCATTCACAGAGAGCTGTTGAGGTGCGAAGGTTAAGGACAGCATGGAAGACTTGAGGAAATCAATTGTCTTCAGCTGACTGGATTGTCTTTTATTCTGCTGCGGTGTCCTTCCTGACCAATAATTGAATGTCTGCTTGAAAGTGATGATACAGGCTGTATTTACACTCTTGATTGCAATCCCCAGAAGTTTTTTTTTTTTTTTTTTTCCTCTTCAAATTTGCTTGTTGCTGAAATCCTGGCACAGTCTGTCTGTAGTGGATGTTACAAATGAATGACAAAATTTTGGATCTTACATAGCCTTCGTGGTGGTGAAAGGCATTTCAGCTTTCCCATTGCCTGGGGCCTAAGAGTAATCTCTTTCTAGGATCACTTCTCATGGCCTGGGAAGTCTAGACTTGCTTTTGATGGACCTCTACCACCCCAAATTCATGAGACCATCCACAGGAAGTCAGTATGGCCTTTTTGGTGAGGATTGCTTGTCCCCCGCTCAGGCCGTGGGAACCGGTGGCACCAAGGGTGCTAGCAATGGTTCCAGTAGTGGTCTGCTGGGACTTTTGTCTCCTTACTGCCTGCCCACGAGGCGCTGACCCCTGCCTTGGCCTGCAGGGGTCTAGTGACTTTCCATTGGGCCAGAATGATTGATTCCTGGAAGTGCCTCTTGACTTGGGAGCTCCTTTCCTGCCCTTGCTCATGTTCACCTCATTACGCTCCTTCTCATACTCCCTTGGCGTGCAATACAGTAGTAGGTACATGTGCATAACCGGTTAGGGATTTATTGTCATTCAAGAAAGCCTCGCAGACGGGAACTTACAGGTTTTGAGTTTGTAGCGTATTTGCTATCCTCTCTAGCCTGACAAAGGATGATGGAGTGAGGAGGATACAGGGAGACTTCTGGAGCCTCAACATGTGTCTGATACTTGGTGTCAGGCATTCCTGGAGCTCTTTTCAGTCCTGGGGATTAAACCCCACCTTGTGCATGTGAGGCAAGCACTCTACCACTGAGCTGTGTCTTCAGCCTCTTAGTTTCGTAGATGAACCAAGTAATGGACGAATGTTTGTGAATCTGACTTGAGATTGGCGCTGACGAACATAGCTGTCTTGTATGTGCAATGTGACTGTTTGCCTCTGATGCCAGCCCTGCTCTCCCCTCAGAGTCTGCACAGCTTCCACTGCTTCTGCTGGGGTTGGGTGTGCATAGTGCATCATGCACTGGGTCTGTGTGCTTGTGCCTGAGACATGCTCACCATAGCCTCTCTCCCCTATGTGGGGATGAGGATGTGCTTGTTTGCAGTGGCCAGGACAGATTGTTTTTGCCCTTGTGCCTAGTTAAGAGCTTTCAAAAGTACAATGACATTTTTGATACTTTGTTATAATAAATGCTTTGTTGACCTCAGATTTCCCTCCAAAATGCCTTAATTTTGTGGCCTGTGTCTCATTGGGTAGAAGCTTCCTCCATGTGCAGTCTTTCATTTACATTTTATTTGTTTGTTCATTCATTCATTGTGTGTGATGTGTATGTTTGTGTGTGTATGCACTCCTGTGTAAGCTATGGTGTGGATGTGGAGATCAAAGGACAACTTCTGGGAGTTGGCTCTCTCCTTCTACCATGTGGGTTCCAGGAACTGAACTCAGATAGTTACATGGTAGAAAGTGCCTTTATCCTCTGAACCGTGTTATCAGCCCCCATGTGCAATTGTGCACACAGTTGAAATAGAAGGGATTGGCTCCAGCATAGTTTCCTATGGCTGGAGAGAAGGCTTTATAGCAGTTTACAGCTAGCTGTTCAGGGGTCTTGGGGCTGCAGGGAGGAACCCATAGTGTTGCTCAGGATTAAACTACCTAACAGCCTGTTCACCTCGTGGCTTGAGTTCCTCAATTGAAGAGAGTTGCATGCCACAGCTTTCCAGCCAGTAATATTGCAGCATTCGGTGCTGTGGGGACGTGGTGAGACTGCCATTTTCTGTCCCATGTGATATATGACTTACTTTGCCACTTTGAGGGTAAAGATGTGGCAGTTTTGGCTAAGCCTGGAGGGAATGAACTGAATAAAAGGATTTATTCATCTTGAGTGTCTGGCTCCCTAGCGTGCCCTCTGTGTCTTCCCTTTTCAGAGGTTGTCTCCTTTCCATACACTTGGTGTTTTACTGAAAGTAAGGACATATCCCCAGTCCCTCTTTGCGATCCTTCAACCATTTGTGTAACAGAGGCTGCCTGTCCATGAATAGGTGGATGAGTCATCCATCCATCTCCATCTTCCATGGGGAACTATTTTTATGAGACAGAATTTCATGTAGTTAAGGATTACCTTGGACTCCTGATCTCCTGCTGGGATCATAGGTATGTCCCATTCTGCCTGGCCTCGTAATGGTACTGTGTAGTTTGGAGGCTGGACATGTTGATTCACACCAGTGAAAGCTGCAGAATTCAATCACTTGTATGATTCAATGTGACTATTTACTTCTTTGTAATCCCCTCTGCACAGCAGAGCCTATCAAGAGAATGGGTGAGTGATAACTCAGAACAACCTGAGAAACAGTGCTGTAAG